AAAACAGGGGTGCGACAGTCGCGACTCGCGAGTCAGTCGCGAGAAAAACAGAGACCGATGGCATATAAATGTGGGAAAACTCACGACTCGTGACAGTTTCGCGAGTCACGACCTCTCATGTCGCGAGTCGCGACTTTGCTCTTGCGAATCGCGACTTTGGACTGCACTGTGCCACTTTACGATTTGGCCTCGTTTGAGCTCGTTTGAACTCAGAATTGAGTGTCGTTTTTTCCTACGATCGCCAACGAACCCCTCTATTCAATTATGCTCTCATAACAATTTTTTCTTAAAGAAAAAATCCGCCCGAAGCTCCCGACCTACACACCAAAAAAGACAAAACATAAAAGAGAACCAGAAAAACAAACGGAAAACACCTAAAGACTCGAAATGAAGGAAAACACATAAGAAAACATGAAACGGACTAAAAACTAAAGAAACAATCTAAAACGAGGGAAAAATAAAGATAAAATAAACACAAAAAATGCAACAAAAATGGGACAAACAGTGATCACAAGATAATCCGACCAGTTTTCGGATGTTGCACCAGTACAGTACAGTTTTATTTATGTATATGCTGATTTCATGATATTTGATTACATGTGTTGTATATTAAGTGTTGGTTCCTACGGATCATGGTGATTTAGTGCTCACGCCCTTACTGGAGCGTGAGCCAAGCAGTGGTGTGGTGGTGTCCGACGACAACTGGACATTTATTATGTTTACGTTTATGTTGGCATGTAATAAGATAATTTCTTACTGTATTGTACTTTATTTACTTTTCCGTACTGCCAACTCAGAACCAGTATGCATGCATGTTTAATTTCCCTTATCCATATTCCCTAGTTGGATTATATATGTCGATTGGGTTACATGCATAAGTAAAAGAAAGAGTAATAAATCAGGTCGGTAAGTAAGTAGCATCCCGCAAATCAGTTACCTTTAAATGTTTTTCGAAACCAGTACCAGCATCTTTTGAAAACAACCGCAAAAATTTTACCCAGTTTTTCGTGAGTCCAGTTAGATAAGGCGGGGTGTTATATATTCCTTCTGGTTTCTAAACTATTTTCAGCTATTCTAGATTATAACGTGCAACATGGATTTTTTAGGGGCATCAAACTGTCTACGGAGGGGCCCATGATCAGTCATTTAATGTTTGCAGATGATGTTTTTATCTTCTGCAAATATGATAAGCACTATGTTAACCTTTAGATGAGTCTGCTTCATAAGTACCAGGATTTTGTTGGACAGAAAGTAAATCTCCATAAATCATCAATCTTTTTTAGCAGAAATTGTGCTCTAGCAATTCAAGCTAAAATCTGTTCTATTCTTACTAGGGTGATTGTGAAGAGATCTTCAAGGTACTTATGGCTTCCTCTGGGGATTGGGGCATCTAAAAGTGAAGCTTTCAAATTTTTGGTAGATGCAGTCAGAAATAGAATTTGCAGCTGGAAAAATCAACTTCTATCAACTGCAGGGAAACATGTTTTGGTTAAAGCAGTATTGAATGCTCTCCCAATTTTTGTGATGTCCTGTTTTATCTTGCCTAATGGGATCTGCAAGGAGATCTGCAGGATCATGGCTGAGTTTTGGTGGAAGAATTGGGAGGATAAAAGCAAAGGGGTCTACTGGCTAGCATGGATTAAGCTGACTTGGGCAAAATTAAATGGGGGTTTAGGCTTTCAGAACATTAAATTGTTCAACAAAGCTAATTCTTAAACAGTTATGGAGGATCTGTGAGAAACCTGATTTGCGGATCAGTAGAGTACTGAAGAACATGTACTTTCTCTCTTGCTCAATCTTTGATTATGAGAAAAAATCAGGAGTCTCTTGGCTATGGAGCTCATGGGCATCATTTATTTCTTGGATGAAAAATCATGTGAGCATTGTATTTAAAAATGGGGCTGACACTAAATGAATGACTTCTGTTGGGTTCCTGAATAGAGAGGTGGTAAACCTGAACTTAGAGTTCAGGTTGATGGTGACCTGTTTAGAGTTAAAGACCTGCTTCTTGCTAGTGGTTGTGAATGGAATGAGGTGTTGGTGAAAACTCTGTTCCAGCCTGAGGTGGCAGAGAAAATCCTAGCTATCAAAACCCTCAATCCCAGATTTGCAGATAAGAGAGAATGCACATTTTTGGACAAAGGTAACTTCTAAGTTAAAAACGCCTATGAGGAACTTTCCAAGATGGAACTGTGCAAGAAATCTTTTGTTGAATCCAGCAGACTAGCTCAGGGGAATAAGAGGGCAAGGAGCAGGTGCTGGAATCTTAGAGTCACATGTAAGGAGGAATCAATGGAGCATGCTCTCTTTTCTTGCTCAAAAGCTCAATTAATCTGGAGGTTGGCTCTAGTCCAGTGGAACATGTCTATTAATGAGGATATCACCTTTCAAGATTGGTGGTGGTGGTTGAGTTCTATAGATCACATAGAGATATCTGAAGACAGAATTCAACTATCTACATACATTCTATGGTGGTTATGGAAGGCAAGAAACTTATGAATTTTTTAAAACGAATGGCAGCCAGCACAGTGGGTCATTGACATGGCAGTCCAAGACTGGAGGGATTTTCAAGAAGTGTAGCTGAAGCAGAAAAAAATATGTTAGGTCTAGTGTCAGTGGTATATTTCTTTTGTACATTTGGTTAGGCTATATACTCTGGCAGTGTAGGATTGCTTCTGTGATTATGTGTTTGTTGTTGTACTATGCTGGGAGTATTTGATTTAGGTATTATGTAGTTTCATTTAGGTTGCAGTTGGCTTTGTAACCTCCCATTATTACAGGCTTTAGGTTGTCCCATGTACTCTTTTGCCTTATGGCTTTATTAATATGAGTGATGATGTCTTTGAAAAAAAAAAAAAAGTTGGACTTGCTTTTCAAAACCTTCTTACAGACCAATAGATATTCAATTCCTAAAAGAAACGAGAATCAAAACGTGAAGCAAATAGCTTAGTTGTCCTAAAACAATTTTTCAATGATCCATAAACTTCTCCAAATCTTGTACTAGATAAATCGATTTTTCATCTACAAGAGTCTCTCGCTCTGTAGCCAAAGTATCATGCTCAAGAACGGTGAAATTTGTATTTGTTTTTTATTCTTTTTAGTGTTCATCATCTAAGTTGTCAAATACATCATTGACAACCTTGATGATGCATATATTGGTCATGATTCCAAGTAGAGATGTTAAATGGTCCTTGGCCCGACGGACCGGCCCGTTTAGCCCAGAAAAAAACAGGGTTAGGGCTTTTTATTGGTAGCCCGTTTAAATCAGGGCTTTTTAGGCCCGGACCGTTTAAACCGAAGCCCGTTAGGGCTAGCCCGAAACCCGCTAGGGCTGGCCCGTTTAACTTGAGTTGGGTGTTGTAAATCTTTGCAGCAAGTAAATAATATGCTCTTAGATTCATTGTATATTACAATTTTGCTATTCCACTTCACATATAAGTATGAGTTGTAACGGATTATATTGATTTTGAAAGATAATTATTAACAATATTCTTATTTTACTCCAAACCAAAATATTTAACTCAATCAGAACGACTAATAGGAAACAAATGAGACAAAGACCTAACACATGAAACATAGTGATAGAATTTATAGTGATATAATATCGTAAAAATTTCCAAAGCGTACAAAATAAGTAGTGAAATGGTAATTGTATGTAATAATTCGAATATCTTTTTCTTTTGAAAAAAAAAATATTATTTAAGAGTTTGTAGTATGTGTTCATATATGATGTGTAGTTGTGTATATAGAGCGGCAAATACTAAATACCGTTGAAAACAATCGTTAATTAAGTCGTTGTAATTTTTTATATTTTTTTCCTTTTATTTTTTATATTTTTTGATACATTATTATTATTATTATTATTATTATTATTACTACTATTATTAATATTATTATTAAAGCCCGCTTAGCCCGTTTAGCCCGAAGTCCGCTAGGGTTAGGGTTAGGTCCTTTTATTGGTAGCCCGTTTAAATCCGAGCTTTTTAGGCCCGGACCGTTTAGCCCGAAGCCCGCTAGGGCTAGCCCGTAACCGCTAGGGCTAGCCCGTTTAACATCTCTAATTCCAAGCATGTTGAAGGTATATCGAACACATACCCTATTTTGGTTCCTAAAAGCAGAGAAGAAAGGCAACACAAGTTTTGAAAGGATAAAACAATAATTACATATGTAATTTCATAACCATAATACCAATATTATTTATAATTAAAAAATTACTAGTTATGGTCATGCATCAAGTAAAGAAACAACAATGACAACATCGAAAAATTCTCTTGTTCTCAATACTAATCGAGACTCATACCACAACATACCATCCTGCTCAATATCCCTATCCATCAAAATTTCCATTCCCAAGAAGCTAAAGTCGTTTCACTTGGCATAATAACACAAAAAAGACTATCACTTGGCATTTGAATATGCAAAAAATAGTGATACCAACATCAATAAATGTGCCTGTATTCACAATTTTAAAAATTTTAATTTATAATAATTTCCATCGTTTTGGAAGAAAAAAGAAAAATCAAATAAAGTATCACACTCGATCCCTAACCAAAAGGGCTTCTCATTTTTCATGTGAATATGCAGTGCAAAATTCGTAAAAATTAACCGATAATCGATTAGGACGATTTCTTTTTCTGATAGAACAAATGGAAGCAGCAAAGCTCCAATTAACATGTATAATGAGTTTAAATGGAACTTGGAAGGAAAGTGAAGAGGATATACTAGTAATTTTATAATTTATGTAATTAGCATTTACGTTTAGTATTTTTTTTATTTATTTATTTATTTATTTTTTATTTTTATTTTTTTTTTGGTCAAATGTTATATGAACAATATGTTCTTGTACGGTCATTTCGACCAATTCCCTCTTAGAAATATGTTGGGAGACTTATCCCTAGACTCGAAGATAGGCCATTCGCTTGAAAATTTAGATAATAATTCGAATTTGTGTTGGGGTTTATATCCAGAAGTTGTATGGAGCTCAATACACTTCATCCCTTTCATGTTGTGATCTGACTGCTACCAGGTTGCTTAACCACACCATATTTCTTCATTAACACCCTCAAATTAGCCGACTCCTCCCATTTTCCCGCATTGGCATAAAGATTTGACAACAGGACATAAACCGCAGGGTCTTCGTTCCCACTTTGAAGAATAATTCCCGCGACTATATTCGCCAACTCAAGATGCTCATGATTCACGCACGCACTGAATAACGTCCACCACATGCGCGGGTCAACTTCAACACCCCTTTCCTTGACCACTGTCTCGGCCAAGTCGAGAAACCCGCCTCGACCCAACAGATCAAAAATGCAAGAAATATGGTCTGCTTTGGGCTCGATACCATAAACGCCAACCATCATATTAAAAATCCGAATGGCATCAGAAACTAAGCCTGACCGACTGCAAGCCGAGAGGATCGCAGTAAAGGTGGCGCAATCTGGTGTGGCTGCGCTTTGATATAGCATGGTCTCAAACCAATGAATTGCTCTTTTACCTTCTCCATGGTCCGCACATGCAGATATTACTGAATTCCACGTTACAGTATCTTTTTCTGTCATGCTCTTGAAAACTCGCAAAGCCCCATCTAAAGCCCCACAACTAGAGTACAATGCAATGAGGGCATTATTCAGCAACGTGTGGAAAAAATAACCAAATTTCAATATATACGAATGGAGCTCTTTACCATGGTTCAGAGCCGACATGCTAGCACAGATGCTCAAAGCTAGGGCCAGAGTGTAGTGATTTGGTCTTAATCCAAAATACGGTAATTTTGAAAAAAGGTGCAAGCCGTTTACAGGCAAATTATTTAACACAAACCCGGAAATCATCGAATTCCAGGTTATCAAGTTCCTGGATTGCATGCCGTGGAAAAGTCTGGTTGCCTGTTTTATCCCGCCGTTTCTTGAAAAAGCAGAAACTAATGCATTTGAAACTTCAATTTTTTCTGTCAGTGCATTCTTTATGACAATCGCTTGAATCATCTCGACAATTTGTAAAGAATCGGAGGTAGACAGCAAGCTCCCAATCGTAAATTCATCAGGTTCAATTCCATTCCTTTTCATCTTTTTGAAAGCAAAGATTGCATCTTTACTCAAATTCTGCTCAGCATAGTTACTTATAATGGCATTCCACGACACGGAATCCTTTTCTACTAACCTTAAAAATACCAAATAAGCTGTGTTTGCATCCCCACATTTCGAGTACATGGTTATTGCTGCATTGTTCACTGATGTAGACTCCCCCAATTTCATCTTTATGGCCTGGCCATACACTTGACCGGCAATCTCAGAGGAAAAACACACTCCCATAACACTCACGAAGGTCAACTCGGTTGGTTTTAGACAGGCAGCAATCATCTCTTTGAAAGCCAACAGAGCTTCTTCATCCCTTTCCATGCTAACTAAACCGGCTATAACCGCATTATAAGTTATCTCATCCCCAAGCTCATGCCCCACTTCATCAAACACACCACATGCATCAAAATCACTTCTGCAGTTAAAATACATGGTAATTAGAGAATTCACCACTGACACTATCGCTAAGAACCCGGTCTTCACCACCAACGAATGCAGTTGCCTTCCGAAATCAAGCAGCCCCATAGTACACAAACTCAAAACGCTTGCAAAGGTATAACGATCACCTCTCACACCCGACGCGAGCATTTTCATGAGAAATCCAAAAGCAGTCGTATCATCCCCATTTTCTGCGCAGCCGGTTATCATTGCGTTCCACACAGCCACACTACGCTGGGGCATTTGATCGAACACCCGGCAGGCGTGCTCGAGCTCACCAGACTTCACACAAGCCGACAGCAGGGTCGTGTACGAGTAGGCATCGGGGATCTGAATCTCGTTAAAAAACCTTTTCACGGAGGTTAAATCATGGGATTTCGCGTACAGAGAGAGAAGAGAGTTGGAAACGTGGGGATAGAGGTTGAGGCCGGAGCGAATGGCGTGGGCATGGAGCTGGGCACCGGTTTTGGTGTCGTGGGAGTTGGCGCAGGCGGAGATGGCGGTGGATAGGGTGTAGTGGTCGGGTTTCAGATGGCGGGAAGAGTGGATCTGGCGGAGGAGGCGGAGGGCGTCGGAGAATCGGGCGGTGGAAACGAGGGTTTTCAGGAGGCGGTTGAGTTGAATGAGCTGTTGGGTAGGATTTTGGAGAAGGGGAACTGTGATTTCCTTGAAATAGCTGCCTCTCATCGGCTGAACTCCAGTTCATGTTTTTGTCCCAAATTCAGTTCTTTTAAAAATGAACAAATATATTTCAGAGCATTACCTGCATATCTTTTTGGCTGCACGAGTCAAATCTCTATTTGGCTCATCTTTCTATTTTATATGCAACTAGGAATCTCCCCATATCGGGCAGGTTTGTGGAAGGCCTACTCAAGATCTTGGAGGGTGATAAGATGGGAAATGCCCCACTGGGGTGGGTCAAAGTCAATTCAGACGGCTCGTTCAACAATACCTCGGGAATTGGATGTGCAGGGGGACTTGTTCGAGACGAGCAAGGACACTGGTTGGGTGGTTTGGTAATGAAAATCAGGTTTTGTTCAGTCACAACAGTTGAATTATGGGATTTGGGATATAGACAGGTGGAAGCCGAAGTTGATAATGAGAGTTTGGTGAACTTCTAGAAATCTATGGATGATGATGTGCTTGGCGTTCATACGGGTCTTATCTTGGGTATTAGAGAGCTCCTTAGTCGATCGTGGTTGGTCAAGGTGAAGCATGTTTTCTGTGAGGAGAATTTTGCAGTCCATCATTTGGCTTCCTTCGCAGCGGATGGATTTTTGGGTATCACTTCTTTAACGTTCCACGTGACGGTGTGCGTCTGTGGCTAGAACACGATCTCATTGATGTTACCTACCACAGAATGTGTGTAATTCGATCTCTTATGGCCTTAGCCTCTTTCATTGTACCAAAAAAAAAAAAAA